CATCTTAGCTGTAGAGGGCAGTGTCACTGGCCCTCATATGTGGGATCCGAACCGGGGCCCTCTGGCATCCCAAGCGAGTTCTTAACCATCGCGCCACTCAGCCGGCCCTATTTTTTGTTTTTAGGAACTACCATACTGTTCTCCATAGCAGCTGTACCATCTTATATTCCTACCAATAGTGCATAAGGTCTTCAATTTCTCCACATCTGGCCAAAACTTATTTATTTCTAAAGATTTTATTAGGGAAGGGGAACAGTGTTGGGGAATTGGGGAAGGGGAACAACCCAGTTGTCTTTCAATCATAGTTGTGGAGGGCGCAGCTAGCTCAGCTCCAAGCCCAGTCACCATCTGGCTGGCTGTCGGCAGCTTGCAGCCACTTAGGGAGCTCAAGGTGCTGTGTTTAATCTTAGTTGCAGACGGGCGTAGCCCACCTGTGGGAGTTGAACCAGCAACCTTGTTGTTAGGAGCATGTGCTCTCACCAGCTGAGCAGATCACTGGCCCATGTGGAAATCGAACCGGCGACGCTGATGCTCAGAGATTGCGCTCTTAAGCAACTAAGCCACTCGGCCAGCCCAAAACTTATTTTTAATAGTAGCCATATTAATGGTTTTTACCATGGCAAGTAATCAGATGATCACTATTATCATCAAGTGTGAAAGCATTTCAATCTAAAAATGGAACCAGAGAATATGAAATGGAGATTTTCACACATGTGCCATAAGGAAAATGAAACTTAAGAATCGAGAAACTGATTTCCTTTAAGTGCGTGTTTTACAAAAGACCAAAACTTATTTCCTACCAACGAACATCTGTCAAGAATCTCTCCCCATGCTCAAGCCAATGAATTTACTGCTTGGACTCTGGCTCGACTTCCCCCTCTTTGTACTCCTTGCCCATAAACATAGCTCACCCCCGACGCTCATCAAACTCTCCTGCAGCTTGCTACAGTTTGTGTTTCCAGAATTGTAATTCCTCTGCTATTTCCAAATTAACTTCGGGTAATTCAAACTTGCCTCGGTTTACCTCTTTATTTAGGTTGACAAAAGATAACAAATTGGAATGTATTTTGAAAAAGAATTGTAACTGTCAGGATCCAACCGGGGAAGCAGAAAATATTAAAAGGAGTTTAATGGGGTAAACTGGATACACAGGTCACAGAAAGACTGAGAAACCAGAGATGACAACAGCAGAAAGCCATTAATATCTACCTATTCCTAGGGTAGAGGAGGCTCTGAGAAAGAGCAGAGCATGTTGGAGTCTCTTCAGAACAGATGTGGAATTGACTGTGATGTGGATGAGCTTATCAGAGGGATGTGACAATGAGTCAGGAACCCGGGACAGGTGAACCAAAAACATACAAGGGCACCACCAAAAAGTCTCTGCTGGACATGGGGATTGAAGAAACCAAGACTATTATCAAGCCTCTGCTGAAATCGGGAACAGAAGAAAACCAAGTTAGTGGGTTAACTATATCAACTCCATAGCCTTCGCAAAGAAACCACCTAAATCCTCCAAGTCTGAACATTTTTAAAAATTTGAGATACCGTAACTGTAGATTAGCAAGCAGTTTTAAGAAATAATAGTGACCCCGTGTGCCCTTTACCAGTTCCCACCAATAGTAACATCTTGTAAAACTATGGCACATTACAACCAGGATACAGACATCCATAAGATGAAGATATAGTACCGGAGCATCTCTCTGCTTGCTAGATGAAATGCTGCCCAATTCACAAGTCATTTAATAAAGCCAATTAGATCTTCAAATTTAAGAAGATACCGACACCTCCGTCATGAAAGTCCCTATGTGCCCTTTTATAGCCACGCCCCAACTTTCAAGCAGACATGATCTATCCTGGCCGCAACAGCGCCTATACCGAACAATGAACAAGGTTGCGCACTCAGCGGGTAAGGGCAGAGGGACAGGTACAGCCTCCTGCCCAGGTTCAGGGGAGACATTAGATGTCGGCGAGGCTGCCCCGCCCCTTCCGCCACAGCCGACCAACAGTTGCCGGATGGGCGAGCCGCTTGACAGGAGCCGAAGACAACCGGAAGTGGGCAGCAGCTCTTCCCTTCCGCGGCTGCTGAGCCCAAAATGGCAGACCTCCACCGTCAACTGCAGGAGTACCTGGCGCAGGGGAAAGCAGACAGGCCGGCGGCCACCGAGCCGCTGCTCGCCGCGGGAAAGGCGGAGGAGCCCGAGTCGGGGGACCCCGGGCCGCTGGGGGCGTGGCTAAGCCGCGCGGGCCTGCGCTGGACGTGGGCGCGGAGCCCCACAGAGCCGGCGGCGGGTCCGACGTGCACACTGAGCGTGACGCGCACGCAGCAGCTGGTGGCGAGTGGCGTGTGCCTGCTGTTGGCCACGCTCTGCTTCGGCCTGGCCTCGCTCTACGCGCCCATGCTACTGCTACGGGCCCGCAAGTTCGCGCTGCTCTGGTCGCTGGGCTCAGTGCTGGCGCTGGCGGGCGGGATGCTCCTGCGGGGTGGCGCGGCGTGCAGGCGTCTGTTGCGCGGCGAGGAGGCGCCGTCGCGGCCCGCGCTGCTCTACGTGGTTGCGCTGTGCGCCACCCTGTACGCAGCCCTCGTCCTGCGTAGTACGTTGTTCACGGCGCTGGGCGCCTGCGCGCAGGTGGCCGTGCTGTTAGCTGCTTTGTTGGACCTACTACCTAGAGGCACAAGCGCCGCGCTACGCCTAGCGCTCGGGCGCCTAGTCCCGGGAGCTGGCCTCTCCAAGGTGCTGCCCGTGTGAGGAGCCCGGAGACGCGCCGTTCCGGAGAGACGCCGGGCCAGCCCCCGGGTCGCGCTGTCGGAAGAGGACGCGGGGCCAGCGCCGACGTAGCCAAGTTCCCAGACCGCGCAAAGACTGTCTACTGTGCCATCGAATCTGTAAATTTGGAGCGGCTGTTAAAAAACTGAGACACAGGCAGTTTCGGAAGATGCTCAATTTTAGCGTTTTGTTGTACATTCGGTAGCTTGCGCACTGCAAACGAGATTTGGTCGTTTATGAGTTGGTGATAATGCAGTGAAGCATTTGATAAATTGTTTTTTGCGCCTTAAATCGAGCCCAGACTGAAGAAAAAAAAAAGGCTCTCGTTTTAATTAGCTGCCCGTATGACTCCTCACTTTCCTTTTACTTTTTGTGATTTTAAAAATCCAGTGGTAGATTGTGGTTTACCTACCATACACTTTTTTTCCCCTTTGGCTCTTGGAAATTATTTTCCCTCCTTCAATGTGAGTGGATCCATAAGGGTATTGGATTAAATTTAGACATCGGATTTTTTTAAGTTCTTTAGTTAAAACGGTTACCTCGGTTTTTTCTGTTAGTGGAATTATAAATATGGTGCCTTGTAAAGTCAGAAGAAAATTGGTTCTGTCTTGACAAAAGCTAAAAAAAGGACGTGTTCTGCCCCAAGAAGCATGGTATCCAGTAAGGTACATGTAAGTGCTTTGAGAGGTCCCTGGGCAGAACTAGAGGATCCCTGGGAGACAGGAAGATAATTCTGCATCCAGAGTTCCCATGTTTAATGGAATTCATGGATTTCTACAAGGTCTAATTATATTTCCTAATTTTATGATCTGAACTGGAATTTACACTTTGTGGGCCAATCCTAATGTAAGATGCTTTTCATATCTAATTGCCAAATTGGCTTTCTAGGTTCAGCATTTACTTTTGTCTATGACTTTATTGCACACCTTACTTTATTGCCAGAAATATGGCAATATTTCTGATGAGTCTAGAAAACTACATTTTGTCACTAGCTATGTATTAACTAGAAAGTAAAACGTATTTAGAACTTTAAAATTCTATTTCGGTGGTCCTCAGTTCACATCAGAATTGCTAGAAGAGCCAAATTCTTGATCAATGCCATCAGAATCTCTGGGGGGGTGGGACCCAGGTACAAATACTTTTTTTCGAGCTCCCCAGATGATTCCATGTTCACCTAAGGTGGAGAACCACTTTTCTGTGCATCAGATTGTACAGTTTGAAAGTTTTCTGGGGCTGGATTCCAGTGTTGCGTAAACCAGGGTCTGGCAAACTTGCGACAGAAGAGCCGCCAGGGGTTGGCAAACTGCAGCTCGCAAGCCACATGCGGCTCTTTGGGTACATACATGTGGCTCAGAAGCAAAAGTGAAAATGAAAATAAAACTATCAGTTTGATTTATAATATTACTTTAAATTTTCCTTATTTGTAAAATTATATTTATGGCTCTTGAATTCAGTTTTTAAATTGTTGTTAGGGACTGGATTGGCTCTTCCAGGGGTTGGCAAACTTTTGAAATGGAACGTACCCAGAGTCGCATGTGGCTCGCGAGCCAGTTTGCCGACCACTGGCCTAAACTAAGGTGTGTTTAGGCAGCAGCAGAGCATTGCCTCTGCATCCAACCTCAAAATTGACATTCTTAGTTCCTGATGAGCGTCCTAAGCCCTGCCTCAAGAAGCGATACTAAAGTGACTGACATCCACTGTAGGCTTACAGGCAGGCTACTTCACACATCTCCCTCACAGTATTCTCTAAGAATACTGCCTTGTTCTGGGATTAGGAAATAGGGTTACCTACCTCAAGAGGGTGTTTGTAAGAACAAATGCACTGTTTTCAGGAAGCAGTTTATTTTTTTAACTAGAAAAACTTGTGTCATGCCTGCTCTTTCTACCCCTAGCTAAATATCTATTCTGTTTCTCTAGAACTTGCACAGCTGAAGATTTTATAATGTTTATTAGCACATTTTTATGTTGATGCTACTGTATGTCTAAAAACTATGTCTCCAACATTTTCTCAAGAATTCAACCACTGAAAATCTAGTTTTTATAAAATTCAAAGCACAATTATCTTGTATTTTGACTGATATTTTAAAATGCCTATATATGTATCTCGTAAGTATTTCATAAATATATAATGTAGAAATTTCAGTTTTTCTCAAATGCATTCTCAAAATGTGATCTGGTTATCTGCTTACTGAGGTACTGTGTTTTAAAGTTAAAGCCTAAAAGGTTAAGATGATAAAGGTCTCACCACATGAATCTTAAAAAAAGGAGCCTAACCTTGATGGGAGTTTGGTTTCTATATCCCTTTTCAGCTTCTCAGAATTTGATTACAACTTCTTTTTAAGCTATACCAGTGGAGGGCAAATAAAGAATATCCACAAACCTAAAGCACTCTTGAGCCTCGTAATCATGTTTTTACAAGTAAGGTACTGATAAGATGTTTTTAATTTCAAAATAAAGTGGAAATTATTCACTTGTAATCTCTAGATTTTAATACCCTAAAAAGTAATGTGAGTGGTTGCCATGTTTTCACTTTGCAGAAATAACTTAGCTTTTACCATTTTTTACATTAATAGAGAACCAGTTAAGAGTTTTTTGTGTACTGTCCAACTATGTTAGTATTCCTTTTCGAAGCAACTACTGAGACTTCCTTCCAGCACCACTAAATTTGCCAAGCAAACGTCTCCAGTGCCAAACTGAAACAGGCAATGTAATGAGATGTTAGGGCAACCACGGGACTGTTTTCAACAATAAAAGCTTTTTTTTTCCTTATCAAAATGTAAGGGTCAGTACAGAAAGTATGGCGTTATCTCAAACTGAACTTTTGCCATCCATTTCAAACTGAGCCAAATGTTCATTGCAAACTAAAGGAACTTGTGGACAAGAACTTCGTGGCTTACTTTGTTAGAACCAACCTCTGCCTTAAATGTTGGTGTTTCCACATAGCTGGTATAGAAGAGAAAGAAATTAAATTTTGCAAAATTGTTTTTAGATATTTTAGTCCATTCTTTTCCAACTTAAGCAATTTATGAAATGATTCACAGTAACCAAAAGGGTACATGTATTGGGTTGTCGGAAAAGTCATAACACATTTTTGCAACGAAAGAGAAACAAATATGTCATGACTTTTCCGACAACCCAATAGTTAATTCCTGGTTTATGTCAAGTTCCTCTCATCAGTAACAAGCCAACTGAAGTCTGAGGTGTGATTACTAGGAGATGCATCCAAGGGAGAACCAACCCCTACTTGGATAACCAGAATATTTTTTTCTTCAGAGTATAATTTTCCATCTGCCAGTGCACATCTGGGGCTTTGAATCTGTTCAAACTATGTTATCGTTTAAGGTGTTTCTCACTCTATTACAGAAATAACTGACAGAATGGCTGGATGAGAATGTGTTTCAAAACAAAAAGTTCACAGATGAAATTAATTTAGATGACTTAACGGTTCCCATCAAGTATGCTCACAATATAAGCACTAATTGTACACCCCTCAGCCAACTGGATGCAGTGGAAACTAAGGGTTTCCTTAAGGCAGGCACTTCACAACTATTGTTTTCTGTTAATTCTTGCATAAATCACATTCTGTATTCATACAAAAACGATGTTTTTTTCTCTGACAAACTGTACATATAGAAACATTTCCAACTGGACGTGAACTTAAATTTGTGGAGGTGCTCCTACTTTCGTGACGCTTTAAAAAAAGATTCCAGCTTTTATCTTCACAAAACAATGTGGGAGTTAGGGCAGTGAGGGTGGACAGGACAAAACAAATCCAGCTGCTGAGTAGCCAGCAGCAGTCTCTTCATCTCGAAGACTCATTAGGGGCTCCTGGAATTCAGCTGCCCCAGAAAGAGTGCAGGGCTACATGGTGCAGGCTTCCTTTTGTTTCTCTTGGTAAGTCCAAAAGGAGTTCTCAAATACTGTCCAGGGAGGCTGAGGGCCTTCAACCCCCAACTTCTACCGACCCCTTCCACCACCCCTTGAAGCTCCTCGTCTGGGTGGGCCAGAGTTCATGTTACTCCCTCTACCCCAGTTACTGCCACTCCGGGCCCCCCTAGAAGGGGTCCCACTGCCTGGAGGGCCCCCAAAAGGTTCATCTCTGTGGTATCCGTCATGGTGATCTCCATCCAAGGAGCTGGAGCGCCCGGATTTTGGCACTCTTTGGGAAGGTCCTGGGCCCCCTCGGCCTGAAATGAAACATTAATTTCACATGTAATTTTTGTATCAGAGACTGTTGTTACCTCCTGGTACAAACTTTTACTCTATGATGACAGTGGAACACTTCTGGATCTCTCTTTAAAGCAGCTGTGCCTCCACCCTCTTCCTGGCCACTGTCTCATTCCCATCCTGACTTTTCCCCCAAGGCTGTGTGGGAGACATGGAAATGCCCTGGGAGTCCCAACATACTGGGCTGTGTCTCTAGTAGGAAGCATGTCCACCCTCCTGGGCCACCAGAAAAATAATGGGGGAAGCAACTGTGACGTTGATTACAGTGCTCCAACTAGGGTAAGTGTGGACTATAGGGTCTTCCCACAACCATGTGGCACTTCTGACTTCCTTTTAAATAATCAGGGAAATATTTGTTCTAAAACAAAAGCATTGAAAAAAAAATAATAAAAAAACCAAACCCACTAGCTTTTAGAATGATTTCTCCCAGGGATAGTTTTATTTGTCCCAGACTTGGAAACACAAACCTTGAGGTATTAAAATTCTGGCTTGTAAATTTTGTTCTCATGAGATGATAGGATTTGGCCACATCTCCCATAATGCACTATCAGAAGATTATTGACAACTTTGTCTTACATTCTTTAATATTATTTAATCCGGTTAAGACAAAGTGGTTAGGAAAGCTACCAAAGGAGTAATTTTGGCTTCTTTTCTTACAAAGCACAACCTAGGCCTACTGGAAGGTGCCTGGGCAGAGAAGTCATCAGCTAGGACATCATTCCACACCAGCCACGTGGCCTCGGCCAGGGACCTACAAAGGTGTCCTGAGTGCTAGAGACCAGCAACAACATGTGTGCTTGGGTGGGGAGACCTATTGGTGATGTGAGGTAATTTCCGAGGGCTTTGCTCTGAGAAGAACTAAACAACTGTCTAGAACAAAAGCCAGATCTTTGTCACGGAGGCAGGCGGGGGCACATGGGCAGTCTTCCCAGCCCAGCCTGACCTAAGACTAGAGCTGTAGTTAGCATTTGGTGGCTACTGCTCTTGGCCTAAAGTTTGTGCCGCCTCTAAAGAGCCAAAGTTTCAAGTTGTAGAAATAATCTGTGCCCACACCCCCCACAAAAAAAATAACAACCACTTCCAGACCATGTTCCCCACAGTCTGTGACCGTGGGCACAAGCAGTGTTCCATCTGGGTCCAGGCTAAAACAACCCAGAACCTGGGAGAGGACAATTCTTTGGGCCACTGAAGACGCCTGCCAGTCTCAGCGGCCATCAGTGGGGAACACACTGGCCAGTTACAGCAGTTACAGCAGGAGTCTCACAGAAAGTACCATCAGCAGAGACAGTGCTGAGCACCCTGACAGAGAGCTGAACTTGAACAAAGTGATTTCTGAAAGTAAGTGGAGGAGACTGTGTGCAGGAGCTGAGCTCGCAGTCCCGTCTGAGAACTCCGACTGGCTGTACGCTGAGCATAAGCAAACTGCACTGCAACACACTTGGACACATGCGCCCTTCCACAGCCTAAGCCCCTGAGAGCAGAATGGAGAAAGGACCCTCGGAAACCAATGGGGACAGATGGAATGGGCAGACCCTGGGTGGGGCTGGCCTGGAGATGAGGCCTCTGATGGCTCCTGCAGCCCTCCTGGCAGGGCTATGGCATCCACAGCTCCCAGAACTAGAATTGTGGCCTCCACTTACCTTTGCCTCCACGATCCTCGGAAGGAACCCCTGGGGCTTCGATTTCTCTGTGCTCAGAGGCCGCTGGCCCATCATGCCAGGGGCGCTTTCGGGGTGGCAGGGATGCCATGTCCATGCCCTGGAGAGAAGAGGACCGTTCTCTGCTAGCTGGGGAGTGACCGTCATGAGGGGGATGCTCTGGGCGGGGGGTATCACGGAAGTGTTCATGACCTGGCCCTGAAACACACAGACGCCAAAGCTAAGAATGTGACAGTCCCATTACATTCAAGTACAGTGTGACCAACAGCAGGTGGGAATTATACCACTAAGGATAAGGAGCAACTGAGAACCACCATGCTTTCAAGAAACACTCGCTGAATTACCCAGCAGGAATAAGTCATACCATGAGCACATAAAAAAGGTAAAAATTAGAAATCAACATACCTCCTAAATAAGAGGCAGGGTAAGGTCCAGAAAAATGGATCTCAAACTTTTTAGACTTTAC